TTTTTTTACATTTTCTCTCCAAATGGGAAGAATGTTGTTTTCCCTTCAATTTCCCAAGCTGAAAACAGCTGGACAGATTAATTCAATCAAATTTGAAAAAGAAAATCTCTCTGGACTGAGACCAAAATAGAATATTTTTGCCCCCAAAAAAGAAGCACTTTAGGAAAGTTTGCAGTAATGCAAGTAAGTCCTAAGAGGGGGAGGCCAAGAAACCTGGATCCCATCTCAGCCAAGCTGAGTGGTCAGGCTTGGACAGTGGCACCCAAAAACTGTGTCAAACCCTTTTCCTGTGGTTGTGCTGCCGGCTCACTGCTTGTGGCTGAGCAGGGGCTGCCCGGCCAGCAGCAGAGCTGGGTCCTGGCCAGGGCTCCTGCCTGCCCAGCTTTGCTCTCCCGGGAGGCCTCTAACTCTACTTCTCCAGGCTCTGCTGCTCCCTCCAGGGAGCTGCCTGTAACTGTCCTGCTCTGTCCTCACTCCATTTCTCAGTGAAAGATGTCACACAGCGATGCCATCTTGCTCAGGAGGGCCTGGCTCATCCCTGCCCATCATGGGGGTTCTGCTGACCCAACCCAGCTCCTCCTGGCTCTGCCCTGTTTCTGGGACTCCAGTGTGTGCAGTGGCTGCCTCTGGAATGGGACACATAGGTACAGGGGGTGTCCAGGCCAGCTCTGCTGCAGCATCTCTGAGCACTCAAACAAGGGAATATGCTGGGACCTAAAGCAGAGTGCAGAGTGGTGTGATCTCTCGAGGGACAGGAGATGGGCTGCACAAGGACCCCAGACATGCTCTTTGGAGACACTGCCTATGAACATGAGGGTTCTGTGTATTCCTTTTCCTGTTGGATCTTCTCCATCACTGGTGTCTGGGCCTTGCTCTGTCCGCATAAGTCCAACATCGTGGGACTGGCTGCGCTGGCCTGGCACACACTAAGCAGTGTTTGTGAGTTCAGTGGGCTCTGGAGGCTGTCAGGGGGCTGCCTGACACCAGGGCATCCCTTAGCTTCCCCCCTCAGAAGAAGGGCAGAGCAGAAGCTCCCTCACTCCTGGGTGCTGTTTCTGACTACCAACCTCTTACCTTATCCAAGCATCTTCCACTCCATGGCCTCATTACTCACTCTGAACAAAGGCAGCAGCCACCCTCCATCCTTAGGGAGGGGGATCTGCCTATGCATACCCCTGGAAGGCAGATCTGCAGGAAAAGTGATTGCTGAGGTGGCTTCATGCCCTGATCACTCTGCATGGGGACCCACACCTCCCAGCTATGCTGGTGGCTGTGCAGCCCTCCCCACAGGAGACACCTGGAGCAGCCCTGCACAGATGTGCTTGGGCAGTCTTATCCAGCCACCTCCCTGCTGCCTCAGCCAGCAGCCTGGCCCTTTTGGG